TATAATTTCAACTTAACTCGGCCGCATTATGTAGATTTCTTAAACTCATCGAAACGACTGTGTGTTTTAGAAATTTTACCTTTCGCGTTATTATGGATAGGAAATCGAAATCGCTGGTTATGTTGTTAGACTTCCTCATATGAACTTTACTACATGTTATAATATGTATCCTAAGGAATTTGTGTTGGAAACATGTTTAGCGATTTAATCTTCAATTTCATTGTAAATTAGTTATTTAGTTGTTTTTTTTTTTTGTGCTTTTTTCTTTTTTTTTTTTTACGAAATTTCATGTAGCAATCGCATCAATATCAACATGAAATCCAAACTCATGCAAGTTTTCACGTGAGATTTTGAAATGATACAAATACCACGCAACGTAAATAACGTAAACAAATCAATGATAAATGCGTTTCTTTGATATTCTTGGCAAACATTAGCGATGTGAAAAACGAGAGTTACTTACTAGCTACCAAAATGGTCTAATAAGAGATTTATGTAATCCTTTTTAAACGTTATACGTTATGTTCTTTTGGTGCTTGAGGTGTAATTATCAGCTTTAAAGCTTGCAATTTCATTGAATTGTTTAAAGATATAAAAACGCTGCAAATTCGTTGTAAATCAATTAAACATTGTGTGATAAACATACGAGAAGGTACAACCGAGTCAGTGCAGTCAGTCACTTTAAAAATTAGAAGAAAAAAATTTAAAGAAAATCATAAACAATATGTTGAAAATTGTAAGTGAAAAATGGTAGAGGAAAAGGAAAAGATAAATATTTTGAGAAAAGAAAAACAAATAAATAAATAAATAAAATGGATATAAATCCAAGGATTCGTTGTTTTTTTTTTTTGTTTTTAAAGTACTCATGGAACGTTTTCGTTTATCAATTTTTTAGATTATCCTTATCTGGGCTTTGATTGTCAGCGTAACTGCTGCTCCCGGATTCTTAGGCGGGGGCGGTGGATATGGTGGTGGATATGGTGGTGGCTATGGGGGAGGCTATGGTGGACATGGCGGAGGTGGAGGTATTGCTGTTTCTTACGCAGCCGCTCCTGTAGCAGTTGCCGTGCCAGTTGCTAAGGTCGCAGTGGCTGCCGTACCTGTCGCCAAGGTTGCCGTGGCAGCTCCGGTTATTGCATATGGCGGTTACGGTGGCGGCAAATATGGTGGCGGCTATGGCGGCTATGGCGGCTACGGCGGCTATGGCGGCTATGGCGGCCACGGTTGGGGCAAATAAATCCATTTAGAAAATAAACAATTTTCTAATCGATTATCTGTACCTTTTCACTAAAAGGAAACTATGATAAATAAAGTGTAAATTGTTCGTGTTTTTGATAATTTTTCGTTTTCCTTTTTGTCCTTTTTTTTTTTATTGAAAAACCTCCAGCAAATTGACTGCATTTGCGAACGATTCAAATTTTTCACTAAAACACACGTTAAGAAAAGAAAATCACAAATTGACTTTTTGTACCGCACAGTTTTGTTCATCTGGTGGTGTGTGTGCTTGAAATTATTTTAACTTTTATTTCACATTAAATTAAAAAAAACAAAAAAAAAAACACAAACTAATATAAAGTATTTGTTATACGAATATGAATGTAATATTAATGCACCCCCTTGCGGTTATATGGTTAAAGTAACTAACGTTATAGGATGAGGGTAATGACAAAACTTGATATATATGAAATATTTGGAACTTATATATATATATATAAAGTAACAATTTGGTTTAGTTTTCACTTATTATTAAACAATTGAACTGAAAATAAAGGCGTAAAGTTGTATTTATGTAATTTACCAACCATGGCCATGTCCTAAGCCTAGACCGCCGCCAAGCGCTATTGCACCGCCTAATCCATGACCGCCTAATCCGCCCAAGCCGCCGCCATAACCGCCGCCATAACCGCCGCCCAACCCGCCGCCAAGTGCACTGCTTACTGCGATGGCAGGACCTGCAGCCACAGCAACCGGTGCTGTTAATGGTGTTATAGCTACGGGTGCGTGCGATATAGTTTTAGTCACAGTTGGAACGGCCGAAATTGTTTTAGTAACAACAGGTGTTATGGTTTTTGTAATAATTGGAGTTGCTGATATAGTACGAGTGACAACAGGGGCTATAGCTATTGTTGAACCGCCACCGACAGCCAATCCGCCACCGCCACCGCCACCACCACCACCAAGTGCTATACCGCCACCAAATCCGCCCAAGCCGCCAAGGCCGTGACCACCTAATGAGGCTAACTCAATACCTCCGCCGCCCAATGCCAAACCTCCGCCACCAATTACACCAGCCTGAGCATTATAAACGCACGCAGACAAGACTAAAGCAGCGCTGAACTGCAAAAGTGAAAAGCAAAAAGAGAATATAAAAAAATGTACACTAACACAGACTTAATATGTAACAAACAGAAAAAGTCATAAACGCCCCGAAACACTCATTAAAGACCTAATCAAAATATCAAGAAGAGATTTCGTTCATCCATGCATTACTGCACCATCAAATTAGTCTAAAGGTAAGCTACACAATCGATTCTGTAAGAAATACCGATCTGAAATTTACTTGTATACGTTATGCAATTTTTAATTTTATATTGTTGCGTTAGACGGATATCGAAATTTTGTTCAAACGTGAACACAATGAAAAAAGAAAAAAAAAAAAAAACACAAGTAAGAACATCTAGCTGGGCAAGATCGACCATTAAACACCCTAATTTACCCTTCATTGTCGAACACTATTCGTATTTTTATTATAGAACACTAAAATTATATCTGACTTCCGTGTAAAGGCATATTTTTCAAGTGCGTGTTTATGGGCAAGCGGACTCAAAAGGCAACCTAATGTAGTACAATTGTAATTCTTACATAGGGTAGGATCCATAAAAATATGCCGAGATTTTCTAAATGCGGCACAGTTACTTTTTTTTTATGTTAAATTACTATTGTTATGTAATTTTCATCGTGAAGCATGTTTTTGTCCCCTGAACTTCAATTAACGTTATATGAGAGGGGGTTCAAAAATTGCCCCAGCCGATCAAAAATATACTACTTACTCACGTTTGCGTGAGAAATTTTGAAACTTACAATTTTTTCCCGCACAACGACTTTTCAGAATAGGGCGTTATATGGGTATCGATCCGAAGCATTTTTAATAGCGTTCGTCCTTGGGTCAAAACATGTCATTCTATCAAATTTCATCGAAATATCCCAAAAATTCGACCTATAACTTGAACAAAAATTTATATGGACGGACATCAGATGGACAAACAGGCTTAGATTAATACAGATTATGATTCTGAATCGATTGGTATAGTAAGAGGTGGGTCCGCCTTAAGTCCTTCTGCGTGTTACTTACGACTTAATACTAACTAACTTGATAAAACTGCACAAGCTAAACTATATCGTAAATGGTGTAAGGTATAAAAAAGGATCTATAGCCAAAGTCTTACAGTATGTCAATTTAGAAAAAAATCCAGATTACGATATGATCGGATTCAGACACAAATTTTTTAAGCAATTTTACATTGCGACCGTTATTTTCATTAATCCATTCCTCTAGCTAGTTGAGGTAAGTCTAGACTGCTGTCTTAGTTGAAATGATATGCCAGGGATAGTCGATTCCTTCAGCATATTGCCAAAATTCTACGAAATTTTCAACAAGATAATGAATGATTGACTGTTGCGGCCTTTTGTCGTACTCGCAGAGAGCGGAAAAGTAGCAATATTCTCAATAACAATAATTTTGCAATGAAGTCATTCACTATCGTCTAAGACAGTTTAGGGATTACGGCGCGTAGAGTGAATATGTGTTTTATGTGATGATAGTTGCACGTTTTAAATTCTTGAGTCAGTGCAATGTTTTACACACACACACACACACACACACACACACACATACATACAACACGTTGAAACACGTAATCGCAGACATATTTGTCGTGCGTCAGTACTTGCACTTTAAATCGCAGCATGAGTACACTATATGGATTGAACCTTGTCTCCCGAGACAATTATCTGGATCTTAAGTCCTAGACTTAAATAACAGAATAAGAGAGTAAGAGAAATTGTAATTGAATAATTGCACGATATAAACTTTTAAAGGAGAAAGTGAAATTGAGATCGCCTTTTTGTTTTTTTTTTGTTTTTTTTGCATAGAGCCTGCCTCCTATAACAATACAAATGTGTTTTCAATAAAAACTTGTAATGATCGGTTTAGATAATATTGTAAAAAAGTTCTTATTCCAATTTAATGTTAGGAAACTTGTATCTTTTCGATATTTTATATGAATTTTTATGCACGATTCACAATGTTTTAGTTTTTTTTTTTTTTCCCCCGCCTCATTCACTTTTTTTTTTTTTTTATATGCTAAACTCCTTGTATGTTACACTTTGTACTTTTTCTTTTTTATTTGTTGTTTTTTGATTGTCTGAAGGACTATCGATATAATTCACTTACCAATTTATCCATTTTATGCGAAGGATATGTGAGAATGAAAGAAAAGATTTTTATAATTATAAACTGTTTTGTTTCAAAAGAGCTATTGATTGCTACTGATTGCAAGTGATGATTTAATGCGATTGTGAAAGGCTTTTTATAGTGAAAAATGCAAGATAGATGTTTCTTCTTTTTAATGTTAAATCTAAAAAACAATAATATATTCATGGAAAAATCAAATCATGTCTTGCCGGTACCAGTATAAACCATTTGAAGTAACTGGAAGATAAACTTATTTGGTCTCGAAAATCTATCCCAAGAAGAAAAAACGGAAAAATATGTCGCCTATGCATTGGTATGTTGTCCCATAAGAAAAGCAAAAAAAAAAATAAATAAATAAACAAGTAACAAGTAATAGCTAGTAATAAATGAATAAGAAAAAACGAGGATGAATAGTAAAAGTGTTTCAGTAGGGGATACAAATGTAAGTTAAGGTGTTAAAAAATTACGTTGGGAAAAACAGAGAAAAAAGCAAGTAAGAATATCATATTCAGTTCAGGCCGACTTTTGTATATCCATCACCCGCTATCCTGAAGGAAATTTCTCTACATGGCATGTACATGGAAACTCTTATGAGCTATAAGCGAAAAATCCAATTTTATGGCTCTTGGATACAAAGGTATTCTTAGTTTATATTGTACTGTAAACGTATCCTTTCGACCGATATTTGGACCATTTTCATAAAAGAATTTCGAATAGAAAGTTACACATATACACACAGACCTAGAGAGAGAGAGAGAGAGAGAGAGAGAGAGAGAGAGAGAGAGAGAGAGAGAAATAAGATAATAAACATCCACAGACGGTCACTTATGATTAGATCGATCTACTATTTAACGATAATCAATAATATATTTATTATATGATCACTTAGAAGAGCACTTCCTAAAAGCTTCCTTTGTCTTTTGTTTAGTGCAAACAAAAATTATGATGAAATGAGTATACCCTCATTCTGCGATATTGTGGATATGAAGAAAAAAAACATGTTCATCGCTTTTTGCTTTAATAGGAAATAAGTCTGTTTCCTCATTGCTGGATATATTATTTAATGGGATGCGTGGATATGTGTTTAAAAGTTTACTTCACGTTTTCAATTCATTCAATTTTCTTTATATGACTTTATCATAAATTTATCACCCGTTAAGTAGTTCAATAATGTTAGTGATATGTGAGAAAAGCATTCATTTCTCTATCACTCTCCAGGGAGGATAATTATTATTAACTTCATAAATATGGTTTTCTTAAATTAAATCTTGCCAAATACTCATGCAACTTTGATTTTAATTAATTTATTAAAAAAAAAAATAAATAAATAAATTTTGTAATAAGCACACACAAACACGAACACCCACAAGTATTAATTTAAAAAAAAAAATAAATAAATAAAAACAAACAAACAAACCAAATAAGTCTTAGGGCAACAAAATTTTATGCTGATTGCGTACGATATAGACAATGGATCATTTCATCCGATGCCTTAGAACACTTCTAGTAAGCATCTTTTGGGTCATAGATTACTCATGAAAATATATTCAAATTTTTTTTTAGTTTATTTACAATTTACAATTATTTTTAAATATTTTACGTATCGTGAATATATTTATCATAGCATCAAGTCTTCTTCTTGTTAATTTGATTGATTTGATTAGCATAAAGAAGGATTATGATGTGTATCGCAAACTTGATCGTGGAAGTTTCAAGCAATATGCGGATAAACAGTTGATGATGGTTACGTCTTTCTAATTAATGGTGGATAGGGGTTTTTGGTGAGTTTTTCTCGTTGTCGCATATGTAATGAAAAAATGACTAGATCCGCCGTCCTTTGTTGATGGATATAAAACTTATTTTGGTTTTTTTTTTTTTTTTTTTTTTTTTTTTTTTTTTGGTCTTGTGATTTTGCGATATTAACCAATATTTCCTTTTACGAACAATTACGTTTATATAAAATTGTTGCATGATCTGTTTTTAACGCGTGTATGTATGTCGTTTAGTTTATTTGTCTGCCACCGCGTTTCTTCCTTTTCTACCAAGCCCGAGTATGTTGTGTGATTTTTTTTTTTTTGTTTTTTGTTTATTTTTTTTTTCACTTTTTTTTTTATTTCTTACCACAAGTTAAGCCGAGACAATGCACATAAAACTGGCCAACAAGCATAGCTATCATATAATGGGTGTGTGTGTGACTTGTGGCCAGTTTAGTTGTGTCTCTTGTCTGCATTTTTTTTCTTACTATTGTTAGTGCTGTTGCTGTGGTTGAAATATGTATTAGCCTAGTTGTCTAGAAGCCTGATTTTTGCGTTTAATGTACATTTTTATTTTTGGTTTAACGGATTGTATAATAAAAAAAATAAATAAATAAAAAAAAGAAGTTTATTTTTTTATTTTTATTTATTTATTTTTTTTTCTTCTTGCCTTGCCTTGCATATGCATCCAGTTTATATATAATACAATAGAAAGGCCCCTTAATAAAACTATAGATTATTTTTCTTTTTGTTATTTCGTAGTTGTATCTTTTTTTTTTTTTTTTGTTAAATAAATGAATATTTCGTTTTCTTTTCATATTATTAATTATGCCTTTTCCTCTGGCTTATCATCAACAACATAATTCATGGGAAATTATTTTTTTTCCTCATGAATAAATTATGTATAAATTTGAGCTTAAATACTATTGAATTTTTTAGCTAAGGAGTTATGTTCCCAAATTTATGTGATACGTGTGTGTGTGTGTGTGTGTGTGTGTATGTATATGTTTTTACGTTAGTGATTGTGATTTACTTAGTTATGTTCAATTATGTTTTTATAATAATTTATTTATGTTTTACTATGTTTTTCGGGCATTTGTGTCAAAGAGAATAATGTTTCGCTTAGATAAGAATAAAAATTTATATCTATCTCAGTATATAGTTTTTTAGCAAAAAAAAAAAAAAAAAAAAAAAATCCCTCAAATAGTGATTGCATTAGCGAAAATTTTATTAGGTCAGTAAAACGTAATAAGGAAATCTGATGTTATCAAGAATCGATTGGTCCCGCATTAAGAAAGAAAAACTTTTCTAAATGTTTTCAAACTTATAAATTTATGATAATTGCTTTAAAAAATGATCGAATTATTTGCAATAATTAATTGAATATTTAGTTTAGTCTCGTCCAATCCTTACACTTCTTATCACTTTCTTCTTGCAATGATAGGAAAAGGAAAAATTCACATCATTATATCCAGCAAATATATTTGAGATACGGGTAGAAAATGTAACTCGATCTTCTTCCTGAATCTGAATGAAAACGTACCCAGCTCCAATGCATTTCAAAGTGTTAAGCAACAAGTAGATGTACCGATTAAATATCGAATAAATTTAAGAATACATCAAAACTGGAAGACAACCAATAAATTTTTACTTCAATTTAACAATGGGCATGTTGGATCAACAAATAAGTTTAGCACAATTAATACCCTATGGTTATTAATTTTCAAAATTATAAAAAAAATCAAAGTTTTCTCAATAGTTCGAATGGAAGGTAAATTTGTAGCAGAAGTATTTACTATCTCTCTATCTCTCTCTCTCTCTCTCTCTCTCTCTCTCTCTCTCTTTCTCCCTTTAAATTTGAATTAGGTAAGTTTTTTCTTCAGTTTTCTCAACCGACATCTATAACTAAAATCTGGCTCGAGTTCCTTGAGCACAGAACAGAAGAGTACTAACTGACTTTGATGAACGATTTATTATATAGATCTTTCGAGCTCTTTGCTGTCGCGAAAGCGTCAACATGTGAATATGAAAATATTAAGATTTTTATTATATTTCGTAAGAACCTTTGTCATCAACTATTCTCAACATTGAGCTTAAAACTAAGAAGCGGTCTACCTAAAAGATTTCCTTCAATTTGTCTCAATGGGTAACGGTATACTTGAACGAACTTTGAATTTTATTTTGATCAAGGATTTTTGTAAATATACATAATTCTTGATTTTGTTATTGCAAATACAAAAAAAAATAATAATAATAATAATAATAAATTAATATTGATAGAAAAAGAATCTCTTAAAAATTATAAAGAAAGGATGCGAATGCTGTTGCAGCATAGGTTAAACCAAGAAATCCTATCCCAGGTGGCCTGTTAAAACTTGAAGAAGACGCAGGTCTATTCGCCGCAGTCAAGGCGATTTGACTGTATAGAGAAGTAGGAGGGGAAATTGACATTAAAGGAGGCGTAGTAGTAGATTTAGTGAAAGCGAAAACTGTTGTAGAAGTAGGTGCAGCTTGTAAGAGTAAAGAATAAGCTATAGCATGTTCGATAGTGTGAGCATTATATGTGGATGCGGGCGGGGCGACCATCTTGCCATAATTCTGTATAACGCTAGCTTCGCTTGGAGCTGAGAAAACACTTATGCAATGCATTATCCAAATAAAAGTAAATTGATTTGTTGCATAAAAAAAAAAAAAAAAAAAAAAAAAATTAATAAAATTAAATTTTCTTATATGCTTACCATAAATTTGTAAAACATTTTTGTGACAATTTAAAAAAAAAAATTGATGATAAGAATTAAGGGAAGGTAGAGTTTTTAATGGACGCGTCGTAGACAATCGTGTGATAGCTTCCGCCCTTTTATTATATGTATTTTTTTTTTTTTTTTCAATAAATTCATTTTATATACAATACATGTTCGTCGATATCGAAAAGTCTTACTGTCATGGCATTGCATTACGTAACAATAAAAATGTTAACAGTGCATTTGACGTTTCATCTTTAACAGCTCCGACAATGCTTAATTAATATGACAAAGATTATATTCACGTTGACATGACAGAGTTTATATTTTATTTAGCTATCGTCGAATACTAAAATACCTGACATTCGTTTTTCATTTTCTTCTTTCGAAAACACATACTGTACGTATTAGGTGGTTGGTTGCATTGGCACTAATTCTGACAATTTTTACACTTGAAAAAGCCATTTATTGAGAAAAATTGCAATGCAATGGAAAT